CAGAAGTAGGAGGTGGGCACTGGGCAGGTGAAGGACGACAAACCCACAGCAATACTGGTCCCCGCTGGGCACGAGGAATCTACATCACTGTCCTCTGGGATGGTGGGGATTTTTACCACTGTATGATGACTCCCTGAATTTATGCCAAACTCACAAATCTTTGCTCTAAACACACAAGAAAAATGGGCAAACTAAAACAACAGAAAGCAAAAAAGAGTAAAATAGAATATAAAAATCTCCTTGGACCAGAAATCAAAATGACATCATCTGGTGACTCTGGGGTGGGGTGAAATGTCCCCAGTGTCCTTCTGGGCATTAATTACCAGGTGCGATCATATAACTGGATTTAGATTGAGGTCCTGGAGCTCCTAAGAGAGGCAACCACAGACCATCAGAGAGGGTGGAAGAGGGAAGAAAAGAAACAAAAACACAAATTTGCGTACCAAAACTCCAAAACACGAGAAACTCTATGCTAAGAAAGCCCAAAAAATCAACAAAATCAGAACAGGAATTCATTCCAGAACAGACTGAAAGGGGTAAAATAATAAAATAGGTTGGAATGTTTAAAGTGATAAGTGGGAGTTATACTTCCATTAAAAAAGAGCTGTAGGGGCCGGCCCGGTGGCACAGTGGTTAAGTTCTCATGTTCCACTTCTTGGAGGCCTGGGGTTAGCCAGTTTGGATCCTGGGTGCGGACATGGCACTGCTTGGCATGCCATGCTGTGGTAAGCATCCCACATATGAAGTAGAGGAAGATGGGCACGGATGTTAGCTCAGGGCCAGTCTTCCTCAGCAAAAAGAGAAGGACTGGCAGTAGTTAGCTCAGGGCTAGTCTTCCTCAAAAAAAAAAAAAAAAAAAAAATAGCTGTAAATCATTTAATAGAAATAAGACTGAAATAAAATCAGATGGACATAAAGAATAAACTAGAAATCTTAGAAATGAAAAATACAGTTTTAAAATGCAATATATAAAAATTTTAAAATATACTTTAAAATGCAATAAACAGAGTAAGCTGGATATAGTGAAAGGGTAAATGAGTTGGAAGGCAACACTGAGGAAATCACCTAAAATTCAACACACACACCCCTCGACTTACATGTTTAATAGCATCTCAAGTATTTGTGTGTGTGTGTGTGTGTGTGTGTGTGTGTGAGGATTGGCCCTGAGCTAACATCTGTTGCCATTTTCCTCTTTTTGCTTAAGGAACATTGTTGTTGAGCTAACATCTGTGCCAACCTTCCTCTATTTTGTATGTGGGACACTGCCACAGGATGGCTTGATGAGTGGTGTGTAGGTCTGTGCCCAGGATGCGAACCCGTGGACCCCAGGCTGCTGAAGCAGAGTGCACGAACTGAACTTAACCACTACGCCACTAGGCTGGCCCCCATCTCAAGTAATTTTAAGCAAAGGAACTCCATCCATCCTCAAATCACATCTCTACTAGGAGAAATCACACAGGTCAGAGCAGAGCCACACGGCTGAAGTGGAGGTGCAGGGCCTAATCTGTCATTAAACGAGCATTAGGGTATAGCTTGGTGACTTTCCTTCTATTGCTTTCTTGGACAACTGCTACAATCTTGCATTTTTTAAAACACATATTACCTCAACTAAATAATGAGCATGTTGAAGACAGAAGGGGCTTTATTCTCCTACCCAAGCCCTCAACAAATACTTGATTTAGTTATGCTTTAATAATTACAGTAATGTGTCACTTGACGGGGATACATTCTGAGAAATGTGTCGTCAGGCGATTTTGTCATTGTGCGATCACAGACTGCACTTACACAAACCTCGATGGTACAGCTTACTCCACCTAGGCTCCATGGTGCTAATCTTACGGGGCCACCGTCATATATGCCGTATGTCACTGACTAAAATGTCATTATGCAGTGCATGACTATATAAGGAAATTCAGTTCAATCACACTAGGCAGAACCTAAGAAATAAGGTTTCTACTTTATATTGTGCATAGTTCCATTATTATAGAAACATTGGTTCGAAGGAGTATAAACTTTTTTTTTTAAAGTTCTTGTTCTACTCTCATTAAAACAGTATTTCTCTAAGGTCAACTCCATCATTCTTTTGTTATGGAACCAGAACTGTATTTAATGCTGAGGTAGAGCCAACTCAAGAAGAAAAGGTATGAAAAAAATCCAAATTAGGTAGAATTTTAAAAACTACGTTTAAGAGCAGTAATAACTGAAATGGTAAAAACATTGCTCAATACTACTAGAGCCTAGTTAAAGAAAAAAGTTCTTTGGCCATCTAATCAAGAATAATGCACCCTTCACCCCAAAGAAAGCATTAAGAGAAAGTGGTCACTTAGCGAGATGCACACACACGCTAAATAAGACACATAGCTTTACATACAAGAAATTTTTCTAAATCTAGGAAAACGGAATGATTTCCCAAGGAAATATAAATTTAATTTAAAAACTAGGGAACATGAACAGGCTATAACTAAAGAAGAAACTGTAAAGGCAGTAAAAAACACTTGAAGATATGCACATGCACATAGTTTTATAGGAGTTTATCAAACCTTCAATGAACAGATGATTCTCACATTATATAAACTGTTCCACAAGGGAGGAAAACCTGAAAAGCAACTCATTTTACAAAGCTATCCTAAGGGTCTCTAAAACTAGACATAAATAGCATAAGAAAACTAAGTCAATCTCATTTATGGGTAGGTAATAAATCATAAACAAATTAGCAAATCAGTGTTGAAAGAACATTCATAAATAGGTTTTATACCAGTTATTGAAGGGTAATTTAACATTAGAAAATATATTAACATCATTCACTCCATTAAAATTAACAGATAATAAAAACTATTATTATTTTCTAAATCCTCAGAAACTCATTGGATAAATTCAAAATCTATTCCTAGGGGTGGCAGGGAGGAAGAGATTTTTTAGGAAACTAAGAAAAAAGGAAATTTCCTTAATTTGATAAAGGTCATCTATAGAAAGCTCAGCAGCCATCATACTTATTTACCATGACAGTCAGGAAAGAAACAAGGATGCCTACAACTGTTCTTAGCTAATGAAATAAGATAAAGAAAGCTGTTATTAAAAATTAGAAAAATGCACTTGCAGGTAATATGATCAATCATCTAAAAAATCCCAGACTTAAGTAACAATTTTTTTGACTAATTGAACTCTGCAAAGTAGCTAAACAAAAGTTAAGTGCTTATTATTGATGAAGAACAAAGTATTTAAAGAAATGTAATAGGAATTTTAGAAAAACAATTCATAAGTAGTTTCTAAAAATATAGAAATAGACCTTAAAAAGTATACAATACCTAAACGAAAAAACCCATTTTACTAAAAGATGTAAAAATTCTGAATAAATGGAGACAGTGTTCTGGATAGAAAGATTTCCTATTTTTAAATCCTTCCCACACATTAGTCTAGAAAATCAATCCAACATTGATCAAAATCCCAAGGGGACTTTTCTGGTACTTTGATAAGGTGATTCTCATGTTATTAAGCAAAAAAATATCTGTAAGAATTTTTTAAAAATTGAAAAAGAACAAATGGGCAACTGACCTGTCATATATCATAATAAGAAATTATACTAATCACAAGTTTTCAGTGAGAGAAAAATCATGGAAGACTCCCAGGTGCCACTTAATGAGACAGAACACTGGAGGAGGTGGGATGGGAGCAGGTGTGGTGGAAGAGGGTGACTTTGTTAAGGTACACTGATTGTGAGAAGCCCATTAGACCTCCACATGGAGATGTGGACAGACAGCTGGATGTGTGAGCTTAGGGGAGAGGTCTGGGCTGCAGAGAGTGACATTTAAAACCGTGGGATGCATGGAGCTTTTACTAGATGTTTGGTTTCCTTCATGGGAAATTATATAGTTTGAGTTTGCAAGTAAATTTCAGAAGTTCACCCATCCCATCTGCATTTGTTTTCTGAGGAAACAGGCAGAGGTATATTTGGATCAATTTAGTAGAGGATTAGAAAAATTAATCTCTGTACTTCTTTTATTATTCCTGTAATAATTTCTTCATTATTTTAAAGTACTTTTCATTTTAATGGCATTTCTCTTTAAAATCACTAATAAACTTTATCTCCTACAAGGAGGCAAAGCCTCTGACATTCGAAATCCCCTCTCCATTGTCAGATGGCTCCTTCATTCCCCCTGAACACACCACAAATCCCGCCTTGGTCCTGAGTTTACAAAGGCTGTGCCCCGAACTGGCTTCACAACTACCCTGACCGCTACTCCATCTCTAACGACTTGAGAGCTCCATGAAGTCTGTTCCAGCCCATGATCTCTCCTCCCTACCCCCAAAACATACTCACGTGGTCTTAATCATACACTCTCTTGTGCTTTAAACATTTCTAATCTATTCCTCAAACTATAGGAACCCACTAAGAAATGTGAATGAATTTCCACTTACGAACACCAAAATAATGCACTATTTCTAATTACATACTTTGCTTTTTACCTAAAAAGTACATGATCCAACTTAAAATCCACAAATCAGTTGCAACCAAATCTAAATTAAGAGAACTCCATTGTCAACCTAGAGATCAAACCAGTAATACTGGGAGACAAGATGCGGTCAAGCTGTGAAGAGAGCCAAGGCACACAGGACAATGATGGTCCATCAGGACTGATGACACAGCCCCCCCGACAGGTCACACAAGTCCTATCCAAGGCAGCACCTTCTTCACTATGAGGCCTGGCTGCAGGATTTAGGGATACTGCCCCAGGAAGGGGCGGCCAATGCTGGGGGGAAAACTGTACCTTATCTTCACTTACCTCCTATAATTGTCCCCATTGAGTAAGGAGTAGAAAATTGGTTTATGGTAACTCATCATATATGTGACCCCAAGCAACAAGGGGAGAGTGAGAACTCCATGTGTAAACATGCAAAAACACACATGCACACGTGAGCATACACACTCCAGACAATATGGCCAAGCATGCTATACAAAATTGTATGTATAATGTGAAACAATCTGAGTTAGGAAACTGGGATTGTTGCCACCACCATTTATTTATCTAGTTCATAACTAAATATAGAATACTATAGGAGTGGTAGAATGCAAAGAAGTCCCTGCCCTTAAGGGGCTTACAATCTTATTAGGGAAATAGGACAGGCACATAGTAAGCTGGACTCTAAGAAAGCATATGCTAAGAAATGCCCTAAGAATTCAGAAGGCAGAGTAGTTTAAGAACATAGGATTAGGAGTCACAAAACTCAGTTCCACTCCCGGCCTGGTAAGTCAGGGGACTTCTCTGGGTTTATCACCCCAGCTGCAAAATGGAGTAGTGAGATTTAGAGGCCGTCTGCATCGTGACTGATCAAAAGCGGAGGCAGTTTTATGGAGGAGGTGGCACTTGAGCTGGACACTGAAGGAAGACAGAGAAGGCATTTCAGACAAGGAAAGCGGTACTGAGGTAGCCGTGAGCGTGGGGTCTGGAGGGGAGAAGAAAGGGAAGGGTCACATGGAGCAATGGGAGTGAGGTAAACGGGCGGCTGTGGAGGCCTCAGGCACTACCACAGAGGAATGAGTATGTTCCTCACATTTACATCAGTCAGTTACAGTACATAATTCCAGAGAGTAGAAAATACCAGAGAACAATGGCAGCATTTTATCAAACATTTCACTCAATTTCCAGAAAATATAAAACAATTAACGTTATACCTCTACATTTAAAATTGACATCAAGAAACTGTCCCAACTGTCAAAATGTAAACCAATTCAAAGTTTACCTTCTTAGTAAACATATCTAAATCTCTTAATTCAAAAGGGCATTTGATACAAATTATATTATCCCAATAATTCCAACATTTATTTTCTACTATGTTCCACGCACTGTGGAAATAAAAATGAGTAAGACAAGGTCCCCGCCCTTGAAGAGCCCGAAGCCTGGCAGATGAGACAAACATCAACCGTGCCCACCCAGAATGTGCTAAGACGCACGGCGTGATCAAGATATGAACACATGGCTATGGAGTAAAAACGATCGAGCCATCCCTTCCGAAGGAGTTTCAGCAAGGGCTCAGGGGAGAGAGGTCAAGGGCTCAAGGAGAAATGAGTTTGGCAAGGAGAAAGCATCTGCGGGGAGGTCAAAGCTTCTAGGCCGAGGGCACACGGCTACACACAGGGAGAGTGTAGGCGCATGGTGTGGCCAGGGCCTAGCACAGGCGCAGAGTGTACACGGCAACAGCTAGTGACATGGAAGCCCAGGCTTAGTCCTATAAAAATGGGGAGCCACTGTCTGTTATGTTTTAATCAACACTAACCCTGGCTTGTAAGGTCAGGAAGAGACAGGAAAGAAAGTGAGCAATGAGGTTCTGTCTGTGTCATGAGCAGTCTAAGTCCTTCTCAGCAAATTACACTGTTCAGGAAAACTCCACACCCCCCATCACCTCCTTTCCTCATCCTCTCTTCTTTCCCTTTATCATCTGGCGAGTCTTCAAAATGAGGCTGGAACTGGAAAAGCATAAAACAAACAAAGAGGCCTAGAAATGTGCATATATGGCTAATTAAGTGACCAGAGGTAATGGTACTTGTATTGTACAGAGGTCTACAGATGAAGAAAACTAATTTTTTCAGAAGATTTCTAAAAGTGCCTAATTCACACCAAAGAGTTGGAAAATCTCATTCAACATGGGAAAAGTATATAGAACCCTTGTAGAAGACTCCATTTCCAACTATTTTCCATCAAACATCAGTGTTACAAACATGGTACCACAGGATTTCAAAGCCTATCCTCACACAATTAAGATCTGACCCAAACTGGATTGTTTGACTTAAAAAATAAAAAGATACAATGCGTAATTCCAAGTCTTAGGTTCTCAGCTACTACCAAAATATGTCAGTACATGAATAAACTGCCTAGTGAAGAACATGCAGTAAAATGGAGACGCAAACAAGCCATCCCTTTAGGGTAGGTACTAAATTCCAACTTCTCATAAGAATATTATAGAACCAATTCCACAAAAGTAACACCTTTTTAAAATTACATTTTATAATGAAGAAAATAAATCTGTGTATTTTATTTAACATTCATTCTTAAATTACAGTTATGCCAAAACAAACTGCTTCTGATGAAGGAAACATTAGTATAATCCTAAAAACATGCATATACACTTAGTAGGATCTTCTACATTCCTAAATAAATTACATGCATGATATACATTAACCAATAAAGAATACCAATATGAGAATTCAGGACATTTATTTTTCTGCATGGAGATTTAACTACTGTACAAGACACACACACAAAACAAACCCACAAAGCAACTGTGTGTAATAGGTAGTGAGAGACACTTAAAATAAGCGTATTCAAAATGCCTACAAACAGAGTTTTTTTTTTAGGCAACAAAATATCTTCAGTCCTTGACATCTTCTCACACTCACCTAGCACCACAGATGCAAGGACTTACAGTAAACGTGAACAATCTCATGCTTGAAACCTAAAGCATGCATTGAATAGAATTTATACATTATGATCTACTCTACTAAGTATGCAATACATACTTCTAATATTTTATACATTAGATTACCCTGCAGCATTGTGAAATTTTAACATTTATGCAAAACAACTTTTGAAAGACGCATGAAACAAGTTTTTAAGGATCACCCCCAGGCTGTTTACACAGGCATTGGTTTGGTTAAGTGGGAAGATGGCAGCAGCCTCAAGGTTCATACTGAATGAAAATGGTATATGTGCATGTCAACACATGTAAAAAACACATATATACACAGATGGCACAAAGATTTGCGCAGTTGGAATCACCAGTGCAAATGCATGCATTTGAGGTACTTATTTCTTCCATGGTCAGGTATAATTATGCACAGCCACGTTCCTCAAGTACTAAATATTTCAGGCCTGATCAAATGAAAAGCTGTAAGAAGTGTAAATATGAGATATTTATATAGTTAATTTCAAAGTGCTATGCTTTTAATGAACATTTGTTTAACATTATACGTTTACATATTTAGTTTAAAATATTTACCAACCAATAAATTTTCTCATTGTAAAGAGAATGACTGGTAGTTATACCTGGCCAAGTGATTTAAATAGCATACTTTTGAAATTCTAGCAAGAACAGTAGTGAAATAGTAAAATACTTCATTATTGCTTCATTGGACCAAGAAACCTAAAAGACATAGAAAAACAATGCTTCACTGATGAAAACTGAATATCCAGAACAGCGGTACATGCCCCACAATGGCCTCTGTCCAATCAAAACTAAGCACTCCCCACGTTATCGATGCCATTGGCATCCACATGGATGTCAGGCTCCCCACCACACAAAGATGAGGGAACAAAGCGGCTAACAGTGGGACACAAACAGCTCTTAAGCTCTGGCAATTCTTGCTTCAGGCGTTCCAACTGCTCCACTTGGAATATATTTGGCTGTTCAGGCATCCAATCATATATCCTATGATGAAACAAACACAAAACACATAAAATAGTGTAATTTTATGGTTTACTTAAGACTCGTCTGAGTTAACCTTTTCAGGAGACTTTGTTTACAGAATGCCGGGAACATCCATATTATGGGTTTTTTCCCTAAGATACAAGCATCAGTTCCATTTAAAAATATTTCTCTTCTCCCCAGCCTTTCCAATAATCCAGAAGAGCAGCATCTCCTTTTGTACCCCTGATGCAAAAGAGCTGATTAAAAAGCAATTGAATCAGAAAACAAAATCAGTACCTTACTAGTGATTCTTCAAGTAGCTTCTCTCGAAGTCAATCAACGGGCAATGCCTTATTTTACAGATGGGAAGCTATTAAGAGGCAGGGCTGGGATTCACACAGTTCTGATTCAAAGCACTAAAGATCAAGATGAAAAGGACTGCTCACCAGTGTGAGAATTATCCTAAAGCTGTGCAGTACAGGCAGAGGAATCCAGAGTTGAGAGCCCAGAAAAAGCGCCATGTGACGATGGCAGCACTGGCACTGCCCATCAGCAGAGAAAGGAGGGCCTTTCGTGCCTAAATGTGAAAGCCAGGCAACTTACGTGAGGCACTACAAGAGAATCTTTACGACATCACAGTAGGAAAGAATTTCTTAAACAAGATAAAAAAATGTATTGACTCCATTAAATATTTGACTATATTAAAACAGACTTTCTGTTAAAGACACATGTAAGAGAATGAAAAGTGACCTGTGGGTCAAAGTATCAGACTGAATAGAAGCCTCTAACTTTAGTCTCTCCCTATATCCCGTTAAAAAGAAAATAAAGCAGTTCAGAAAAAAATCCACGAGCATGAGGAAAAACCAAAGAGACATGGCAACAAAATTCTGGAAGCTGGAAAACAGATGGATAAGTAATAAAAAGTGTTTCAGTTAGCAGAACGGAAAAGGCCAACTCACAAGGCAACAGTGGAAAAAACAAAAAGGCTGAGTTAAAAGCAGCACCAAATCCCTCTAGAACTGGGGTGAAAGAGAGGGGCTGCAACAGGGAGGACAGGCGCAGGCTCTGAGCACAGCAAGCACGCCCCTTCCTGCTCCTCCCCGACGCCAAGCGAGGCGTACTTCGAGAATTACAATCTCTTGGAACGGAGGACATGACCACGTGAGGATTTAGGCATTTTACAAAACCACCAGCAGCACCAGGGGAACTAGAGACAATACACACATCTAACAAGTGCTAAATACAGAGAGAGGCCCCCTTCTCCAGCTCTCTTCTGTCACCTGACTCCAAGAACCTGGCAGCCAGACCTGGATTCTCTAGGTAGAATATATAGATTCTTCTATGAGGAATCTGATCAGACAAAACGTAAAGTTCTAAATCCACTGACACCAGAGGTATGACCAAACAGGCTCCCTGATCACCCCATCGTGAAATTCTAGTCAACAAGCCCCATGCACACACTCAGAGCTTCCAACAAGCTTTGTAGATCCCGATTCCTTATCGCGAGAAGCAGCCAATGATTTCCAAACATCTGAGAAAAGCTTCTAACTTGTAAGATAGTGAGCAAAAGACAAGAAAATTCCAAAAAGACAAAAAAAAAAGTTTTTTTATGCCTTCAGAGAAATAGTACTTGCATTGAATGAGAACAGGCTGTTATAAATATAGAAAAAAGAGCATTTCAAAGAAAAAGGTTCTTGGAAATTAAAAACACAGTAAGACATGAAAAACTCAGTAGAATGGATGGAAAATAAGGCTGAGGAAATCTTACGAAGTGGAGCAAAAAAACAAAGATAGACAATAGAAGAAAAGATAACAATTAGAAGTTTGGTCCAATAGTGTATAAGATGCAAACAAAAGGAGTTCTATAAAGAAAAAACAACCTCACAAAAATGGAAGGGATAAAAGTTGAAGAATGCACAAAATTTTCCACATCATTGAGGACATATATCAATAGACTAAGAGGGCTACCACGTGCCCAGCACTACGTGTGAAACCAGATCCACAAAAAGACCCATCTCTCTGAAATTTTACAACACTGGTGACAAAAAGAAGACTCTCCAAGCTCCCAGAGAGGAAACAAAGAAATCATATGTGAGGGAACAGGAATCAACATGGTTTCACACTCCTCAACAGCAACACTGGAATTGTAAAGATGACAGAGAAATGCTTTCAAACTCTAAAGGAAAATGATTTCTAACATGGAATTTTATGCCTGGCCACAATACTTCCAGACATGCAAGAGCTCAAAAACATTTACTTTCCGTGTCCTCCTTTCTCAAAAAGATAATGAAGGATGTGCTCCATAAAAACAAAGAGAGAAAACAAGATAGTAAAACAAGAGAAAAAAGGATTTGGACTATAGGAAACAGGAGCTCTGACACAGGAACTGTAAGGGAGCAGTCATCACTCAGGATGGCAGTTGTGCCCAAAGAAGTCAACCAATCTGTACTGGAGCAGTCTGAGTGAAAAAGAAGGCGTGCGAAGGGCTATCACTCCAAGTGGGCCACTGCTACTCTACCAGCTTTGTAACCTAAGGACAGAGTGTTCTAGTGAGACTGAACCAGAATCTTGCTGAATATGGTTTGCCTTAACTATGTGCCGATGAGTTTCCACTCTGACAGGTTCATTGTGCGCTGGGCTACTCCTGAGAACTGATGGTGGGGTATGATGAGCACAGAACCAGGAAAACACAGAACAGCCTGTTCCACGTGACCATATTCCTGCTGTGCTTCCAATGCCTGACCACAGACAAGATGCCTTATCATGCTGAGCTAGAGACCTAGTGGGTGGCAATCAGTTCAGAAAGTAGCATTTAAAAAGGTGAGGGCCAGTGGTGCAAGGAACGAGCACACACATGAATAAGAAATATCCAAGGAGCATTATTGTTAAAATTTTGTTTCAGGTACACACTTGTAGATATACATATCTCTGTGTACAGTGGATTGCAATGTAAATGCATTTCTAACCGGGTTGGGGTCAAAAGGTTTGAAAGTCATTGCCCTAGAGAAACTTCATACACATATTTTAGGAGACACTATTATGTAATATCAAAAACTTGGCAACCACCTAAGTGTTCTCAAATAGGAGAATAAATTGTGGCAGAGACATGCAGCCAAGCATATTATCCAGCCATGAGGATGAATAAATTATAGCTATATGCAACAAATGGACTCATTTTAGGAACATCAAAACACATGGAAAAAAAGTAAAAATAAAGTTAAAAGCCATGCAAAACTAAATGGTACATGGTTTAGTGATACAAATTAGGAATTTAAAAAACTTTTAAAAAGAATACTAATTTGATAAGCAGTTATACCTGAGGGAGGAGATAGGGGAATAGAATTAGGGAGAGGCACACAAGGGACTTCAAATCTAAGGATAATGAAAGTTCTTTACTTTAAAAGTGGTGTCTGTTATAGTATTTCTTTTAAATCATTTGAGCAGACAGTCATTTTTATAAAAAGAGGGAACGGTGCCAACTTACGAGGCAAGTACTTGGTACCCATACCAAAATTAGATAACCATTTGAGAAACGTAAATTAAAGGCCATCTTACTCATTATCATAAATGCAGAAATCCCCAAATATCAGCAAATCAAACATAGTGGTTTATATGAGATAATATATCACAAAACTATGATTAACTGTAAAATCTACTGTGTTAACACCTTTGTAAAAGAAGAGAACACAATGGTTTTTGACATACTAAAACACCCATCCTCATCACACTTCTCCCCAGTGTAAAATGAATCAAAGGCTCACAATCACTAATCATTCAAAACCTTCTATATAATGTCCAAATTTGACAATGACAAAAATAATAGCATAAGCACATTAAGTACCAGAAGAAACAGCTAAAAAAAATTAGGACACAGAACTCAGCTGGAGACAATGAAAGGGATAGTGGACGGCTGGTTTTTATTGTAAGCCTTGTAGACTATTTGATTTTTAAAATTATATACGTATAGTTATGCATATATATGTAGTTCTTTGATTAGAATTAAATAGAAAGAATTTGAAGGGTAAAAAGCAGCTCTAACACAACCCACCGCACCTCTCATCAAACCCTAGCAGGAGCCGCTGCTGGGCTGTGTCCTCAATGTCCTCTGCGCCCTCAACGTCCTGCCCCATTTGTGCTCTCACCTCTGCCTAAAACGCAAACCCTGTGAAAGCGAATTTAATCACACCGCCCCCAAATTCATCTCAATGCTTCTTTTTAAAAATTATTCTTATTGACCGTGGGCCTGAAAGAACTCACTTTCTTCAGGGCCTTTTATATCACATAGCATCTTCCTGTTCTCCACCACGTGTTCATATTTGGCTCCAAGCAAGTGAGGTTGTTGAGATGAAGGATCTGCCTAAAATTTGTATATCCCACAAAACTGTACATGGTATAATCTCACAATACGCTTTTCTTGCCTGAAAATATCTGCAATCATTCCTTCCTCCTCCTTAAAGAAATATTCTTCAAAACTTTGCTAAAGCCGGAATTTCCTTCAAATTGTTCCTTTAAAATTTTAATTTTCCATCAGTTAGGTAGAAATGTCTATTAAAAAGAGCTATGAATCATTTGCTGCTTAATACAAAATTAACCAAATAGTTAAAAAAAGGAAGGCAGGCATTATCTGGGCTGTAATTTTAAAACCATACTAATTCAGACAAAATAGTGAAAAAAAAGTTTTATTAAGGAAGAGATATAACTGTATAGAACAGAAATATGAACTAAATTCCAGGAAAATATTTTTCAAAGCAGGCCTGGTAAGAATTTTATCACTTTCTCTTTGTATAATGCTGTTCAAGTATTAACAAGTCTGCTCATCCCTCTAACTCATGCCCTCTAACGACAGCCCTTCTAACTCAAAGTTCCTTTATGCTAAGCAACCTTTCCGGCTCTCAGATTAGTGGCTCTCAAACCTGCATCATAAACTCCCGGGGAGCTTATAAAAAAGGAAAAGAAAAAGATCTGTTCAACAAATATGGGAGCTCCTACTGTGTATCCCACATTGTTGTGACCTCTGGAGATAGGGCAGTGTATGAAACAGGCAAAGAGCTGGTCCCCATGGAGCTTGTTGGGGGGAGGGGGGAGGCGGGGGCTGGGAAAGGTGGTCAGGGAGAATGTAAATTAAGTAGGATATAATATGTACATGGGTATATCAGATGGTGGTGAACACCATGGAAAAAAGTCAGGAAGCACATTGTGAGCAGAGTTGTTATCTGAATTAGGATATTCAGGGAAGGGCTTACTGAGATGGTGACATTTCAGTCTTTCCTGGAGAGAAACAGCGGGAGGCCAATGTGGGGGTGGCTTGAGGGAAAGCTGTAGGAGAAGAGGTCAGAGACAGAAAGAGGGCAGATGTAGTGGTGGGGGATTGGATGGGAGTCAGCCCACACAGGGCCACATAAGGAACTGGGATTTCACTAGAGGTGACACAGAAACTGCGGGAGAGTTTTACCCAGTAACCTGACTTCGGCTTTAACAGGCTCCCTCAGGCTGCTGTGCTGAGAAGACGGAGCAGGGACGCATGGGTGGGGCCAGTCACCAGCGAGCAGGCTACTTGACTAATTCACCTGAAAAATGAGGTGGCTTAGGAGAGAGTGACAACAGTAAAAGTGGTGAGTGGATGGAGTCAGGATATGTTCTGACAATATAATCAACAAGATTGTGTCTGGCTGGATTTGGGGTATGAGATAAATAGAGTTATGAAAGACTCTGAGGATTTGGCCTGAGAAACTGGAAAGACGGAGCTGGCATTTATACTGAAATCAGCAAGTCTTCGGAAAAACAGGTGTTGGCAGCTGGATACAAACGTTTAAAGGTCTAAGGAAGGGTCTGAGCTGGAGACATAAAAGTTCGGGAATATACAAAGGTAGGAAAAGCCACAAAACTGGAGGACCTCACCACAGAAGCTGGTGCAGACAGAGAAGAGGTCTGGGGCAGACAGCCACTCCCACCCACAAGACGACTTAGCGCGTCTGGGTTAGGGCCCAGTCACGCGAATTTTTAACAAGCTTCCCAAATGACTGTGGTACTCCAAAGTTTGAAAAGTTCCAATGACAAAAAAATGTTCAGATAAATCTCAGGCCAAACTACAGATTTTTTTAACTTAACTAAGTTTAATATTATTTTTCATTTTCTAAGATGTGAACTACTGTTTTCCTAACATTCCATAGAAATTTTTCATGAAAAACAAATACCTATCATAAATTAGACCATTAACTCCAAATTCCTTCAATTTCTTTCTGTTTTCAGGGTCGTTGGTATCATCACCCCAGCAGAATATGACTAGTCCCTTAGCTTTTGCCTCTTGAATGTAGGACGGGTTTCTGAGCAGGTCTTCAGTATGTGCATTTATCCCCTAAAAGAAGAAAAATAGGTTTCTCATGAAAAAGTAACTTATTAACTGCAGATGCTAAATGGTCATACTCTAGATCAGTGCTCTCCCAAGTAATGGGCAGAAAAAGAAAACGTGAGAAGTTTTTCTTACAATTTATTTTATTGAACAAGTTTACAGTCTAACCATTTTAGGTGACTCATAAAATCCACTCAGAAAACTAAACTATAAACTTTACTTAGCCTAAGCCTGCAAGAAAATATTTTTTCCCCCTAAGAAAAATTAGCCCTGAGCTAACTACTGCCAATCCTCTTCTTTTGCTGAGGAAGACTGGCCCTGAGCTAACATCCATGCCCATCTTCCTCTACTTTATATGTGGGATGCCTGCCACAGCATGGCTTGCCAAGCAGTGCCATGTCCGCACCAGGGATCTGAACTGGTGAACCCTGGGCCACCGAGAAGCGGAACGTGCGAACTTAACCACTGGGCCAACGGGCCGGCCCCAGAAAATATTTTCTTTTGTTCATTTAACTGCTTTTCATTCTCAGATCTAATATCCTCATTTTTAAGTAGAGCTCCTGCTTGTTATACATAGGTCAAAACTAAAAAATTAGATGTATAAAGTAACATGAAACCTTATTTACTACTGCTCTAAAACATTTTAAAAAATTAAAATTAAAAAATTCAAACATAGCTTACCAGTAGATTTTCAAACTGTGCAAAGCTCATTGCAATGGGGGTTGTCCGAGACCTGAGGTCCATGAGTTCAGGATAAATATCAGACTTTCCTTGAGTCAAAAATAATATGGGATATTTGTTCTGCTTTTGCCGAACCCTAAGAAAGGCAATTTAAAAGATACTTTTCATTGGGGAAGTAATTATACTGTTTAGAAATTTTAGAAAATTCTAAACATACAAAGAAAACAAACCCAAAAACCCCATAATTTCATTACTGAGACATAACCACCATCAACATGCATTGCCTTTCAGTCAAAATAAAATTTTTTTCTTAATTATTCTACACAAGAGCTAAAATATTCTCAGAAATGGGGAACAAGAAAGTCCTTGTGGGCTTATAATTGGGTAAGGAGGACGTTACATGCCTGTAAAGTGAAACACAGGGCAGAGGTAGACCCAGGGGGCATGGAGGGCACCCCAGCAGGTAGTCCTGAAGGGATGTGAGAATATGTATAACCTGACTGAGAGGAAAATTCAAACGCGAAGCCTGGGCAACTTTCCCACTTCCAACCATGACCTTTCTATCCTAAGTCCTAGCTACAGTCTAAGAGTATAGGAGAAAAAAACTGAATATTACTCACATTGTGCAAATATCTGCATCAAATGAAGAAAACACTATTCTCCTCTTCCCAGAATTTTCTAAGACAGTTTTTAAAATTATATCCAAAAACAGATTCATGTCAAAATATGTTGATAAGTTACCATCCCACATTCCATCCTATGTGGAAGAAATTAACAGGAAAACTAAAGTCATTAAATACCCTAAAATTACAGTGCTGGAAAAAAATCTTGATAACATCTAGTCCAACACTTATTTTACAGATGAAGCCTGAAAACATTCACTTGCCCAAGACCACACAGCAACTTAGTGATGGTGCAGCTATCATAATTCAAGTATGGAGAACTTATATACAAAGTGACTATATTATCAACAGACTTTTGCTTTAACGAATTAAGGTTAACAAAGTAAAAGCTAAAACTCTGGTAATTTGCAATCAACTATGACTTTAAAATATAATCTTCATAAACTAAAGGACCAAAGGACTCCACTTCACCTGCTTATTCTGTAACTCATTACAAAAAACCCCTGGTTATTATGAATTAACAGTTAAAAATCTCATTCTGTGGGTCTTAAGCATATCAACTACTCTCAACAAATAATAAAACTAAGTCTCCAAATATAGCTAAGATACCAAGAACCCTGTTGATATTCAAACATTAAATGTTTTAAGTATTAGTCATTAAAATAATCTAAAAGCTCAGAAAACTAAAAATCACTTATTAGGAAAACCTTGGTTCAACACTCACTATGTTAACCAGAACCAGCTTATCATAAATAGCTACTTAGAAGGCATGATATCTGCGGAGATTTCTTTTCCTAGTTAATTATTACTAGCTAATGCCACTTAACAGAAAATTAGGAAATTATTTAAAATACATGTTTAGATGGGGGATAAGAAAACAAAAACTAACCACAGAGTTATGAAGTTGACTGTCCAGAAAGTTCTCACTGTTCACTTTGTAAGTATGCCCAGAAACCATCCATATTAATGTGCATGAGAAACATGTAAACTGAAATTTCTACTATCATACATTCATCACTACTTCAAGCACTCTGCGTTAGTAAAAGTGTAAGACAGACTTTATTAATAAAAGGACCAACAAGCACTGTGTTTGCTAGAAGAAGCCACAATAAGATTTCAGTCTCACTTATTCCATTAAAATGAAGAGACAGGGATGAATGCATTTAAAGAAATGGAGAGGGAGGAAGAAGAGGGTGTTACACAGAGAATTACTTACCCTCTGTTGGCAGATCCATTTTATTTCTATGTTAAACCCTACGTCTTCTGGCAAAGACTCTAAAACCTAGAGTTTTGTTTGTTGGTGGTAAATTTTGTTTTGTTTTTCGTGAGAGGAATGGTAGGATAAGAAGAAAAAAAGGAAAACAATTACTACAAAAAGAAATCTATAAGAAAACATATCACTAGTAAGGATAAAAAATGTTATGTGCTTTCAGCATAACCCACTATCTTTTCTCATACTCAAAAACTGGCAGCCTGGTTAATGATCAAGTTAAATAAGAAAGTCAAAAAAATTAAATAGCAAAAGCAGTAGTCTCAGGCAACATCTGTGGTAACTGATGACTACTACCACAAAGATGAACCTTCAACCTAAAATCCTTTCACCATCACTACTGAACATGCCAAATCAGCTGTAGTAAGACAGGCGACCTCATGAATTTAAGAAGACGTTTGTCATGCTTTCTGAATTGCATTCAGGCTTGCCTGAGGCTGCCAATCTACCATACTAAGAAGTGGCTATATGAAAAGCCACGATTTCTAGCTTATTTCCAAGGCGGTGATGCTTAACAAACACTATACTGAGAACCCCCTGAAAAGATGTCATCTCCAAATGAAAGAGTATGCCGAGGCTCATTAACAAATAAGGCACTATCTATATAAGCAAACAATAAGTTGTCAACTTATCCAGACTAAGTTACCTGGACATTTTGCAAAAGATCATTTTGGCTGCATAACTAGAAAGTCAAATTGAAAATATGAAGCTTGAATATTAACGTACAAAGAGCTGACTTGTTGAGTCTTCAAACATGAAGACCAGGCAAACACATAAACATACTCAGGGCAAAATGAATTTCAAACAGATTGTTTTTTAGCTCAATTTATTTCAGAAGTTTAGAAATCATTTAACATGTATAGGATATACAGTATTTAATTGTATAAGAGCCAATAAAAGCATACTAACAGATAACACAGTGGTGAGAACACAGTTGGGCGTAGGCTGACCTGGGATCTAGCCCTGGGTCTGCACTAACCAGCTGCATGGAAATACAGCACCCAGACCAGTTTGTCTCAGTTTCATGTGGGGCTTCTTTACTTTCTTCTCTGATATCTTTAGCCTTATTTATTTTTAATGTACCTGTCACATTTTTACTGCACTAATGCAAAATTAGAAAAATAAGGACACTAGTGTATATTAGTGTTGACTACTAAACATCAAATTTGCAGATTCTCCTTCATACTAAGATTGGATTTGGCCTTTCTTTAGTTTTAAAATTTCTCTGTGATTAAATTATAGTGATGGTAAAGTGGGTGAATAAATGAGTGTGTGTGTTTAACTTCTTTGGCTAAGTAAATGTTGTCAAACCTCTGAGACACAATTTTTTCTTAAGTGTTTTTCTGTTCTATGAAATCATGAGATTTCTAAGAAGCAAATGATTTCAGAATTTTGGACTAGAACAAATGACTTTACTTAGCTGGGCTTCATAAATATATGAAAAATTATTCAAATCATGTTTTAAATACACTAGGACAACGTCCATTGCAAGGACAAGGGGCTCTCTGGTAGCATCCTTTTTGTAGGGTGAATAATCGCGATAAATTGAAATTACCCAATTTTGCCTAAGAAATCTATTGTACCTGACATCACCAAAAAAGACAATGGAGAAGAGTAGAAGTTAGGAAATGGAGCCAGTAGGAACCAAAGCAGACCCAGCATGGTCAAGGAAAGTGTCTGGTATCCATGTAGGCTTGCCTGATGCTGTCAAAGGGATTCCTGTATGAATTGTGCCTAATTTTTAAATCGTCATGCTAGTTTTCGTTATGCTTTTTCACAACAAATTCTTGAAACTCGTGGCGTATTTTAAGTAACCAGGGCACTTATTTTCTCTGCTTGGAGAATTTCATTTCTCTCTAAAAGCTAAGGAACAGTTTTAAATATTGTAAAAATGCCTCTCCCATCATTACATCTCCCTCCCACCCCTTTTTATGAGCCCTCTCCTTCCTGTTTATATACAGAAATATGTGAATTTCCTATTCTTACCAAATTAACCCATTGAGGTGGGAATTTTTATTCATTTGAGAAGATACGTTACTCTTAAAAAAAAAAGTAGCACCACAACTAGAAGGACCCACAACTAAAATACACAACTGTGTACTGGGGGGATTTGGGGAGATAAAACAGAAAAACAAAAAAAAAGTAGCATAGGTACACCACCCAAGAATGTATCTTCTCTGAAAACATCAATGATGACAAGTTTACATTAAAGCTGTCTTTTACACAGCCTTTTTAGTGCCCATTTAAAAGACCAAAATAAATTATTCAGATATAACAGAATTAATGAGATAGTCTTGCTCTAGTTTTCCTAAGGAACTTACCATCTTAAGAGAAGGAAATGGCTGATTTTCAGAAAAAGAATTTTCTTCCTCAACCACAGATTCTGAAATTTTAAATTTAAAAACTCAGTAGATAAAATACCATTTTATCACCAAGATCTTTTCCTAAATTCTTAGGGCAAAAAAAGAGAAGCTGAAGTAATTATGAGATCATTTCGTATGTAGTATTTTTTGGAGGCTCTTGTATTTATTATTTTTAACCATTAAGACTCCCATTTTTGAAATAAGCATCCTTTATGAAGACCAGTTTGCAATACTTAATAGAAACATCACAGTTGATGGCCCCAACCGTGATTATTTTATTATAAAAATGTAATACTTTTTAAAAAGTAGTCACAAGTAGTGATCTGTTATTTCTCAGTGGAATTAAGAGCTGTGTCATCTTGCTAAGCCTTCTATTTGAAATATCAAAATCAACTCAGAAGTTAGAAATTAAGAGAATCTATAGCTACCATTGTTCTTTTTTACCATTACCACTTATCTCAAGAAACACAAGAATTTTTTCCGAAAGAAAAAAATATCAAGCTTTTCTTAAAACAAATCACATAAAATTTTCCTGTTGAATAAATTAAAGGTAAATTCATTTTATTACTAATAGTCATGAAATATCTACGAACCAAGAAGTCGTATTTATGTTCTGGGGTTAATCTTTGGAGTCTTTAGCACTTCACAATTTCTTCATAAAGGCATTCCAACTATCCTGTTATTACAACTGCAGATAAACATCTAAGGAGTAACTACCATGGGCAGAGCCCTGTAAATGTCTTGGGGAATATGAAAACAATTCCCCACCCTGGAGAGGTTTACATTCTAGATGAAGAGACAGGACATGTACAGAAATAAAGGGTTACAAAAGGGCACAAGAAGCCTCAAATGAATGGCAGAGACTATTAAGTTCTATGAAGTAAAAAGAAAAGTGGAATTGCAAAGAGATTTTGTAGGCAGGACAAGCTTTGAGGAAACTGAGCCACAGAGCATTTAAGTAAAGTAGGTCACAGCTGGTAAACGCTAGAGATGGATTCAAACTCCCAGCTCTGGAGCCAGATTCTATGCTCGATACAGTTTCCACTTTGTAATGGTTAAGAATGTTTGGAAAGATTGATAGGTATAAAATTATAAAGAACTTTGATCATCAAGCTAAGAAAACTCACAAAAATAAAAAAATCACAGTTACTATACATACGACATACATGCATTTGATAATTAATATGCGTAAAAAGCCTTCATGTTTATAAAATCACACTGAGAGAGCCCAGTATTATATTTACTCAAATGACCAAGAGTATGTTAAAATGGATAAGGAAATATTGTATATATGCTAACTACCAAATGAAAACAGTGTTTCCATATTGGTACATACCTTTCAGATCTTTAGATTTTAGTGCAGTCACATGAGCGAGCTAGAAAACACACACACACATACAAAATGCAATCAGAAAAAAAGCCTTAGTTCATGAAGATATGGTTAATAGAACTGTAACTTGAATAGCTAGCAAGTTAGAGAAAACTATAAAATGTAGAATTATCAGTTTACTAAGAGTAAGCACTAACCACTGTATATATTTTATGTGCATACATACAGAGAAGATCATGATCAAATACCCAAATACGGAAGAAGAATATAAAAATTCTTAAATTAGGAAACTCTTTATACTCAACCATTTATTTAGGTATCTAATGGAAATAGGAAGAGGGATCATGTAAAATTACATAGCATAACAAAACATACAAAGACCTACCATAGTAACATAAGTATAAAAACCAACAATAGCATAAAAGGCCAATTGTAAACTAGTGACAGCTATATGAAGAAGGGCTAAAGGAGACCAGAGGCAGCCTAAGATTACGGATGAGAAGGGCTAGCCCCTATCACCTACAAAGACATGGGCTAGCCCCTTCACGAATGCAAAAACAACAGGGTCCATGGAAACTGTTAGAGAAGAGATGGATTAGCACAAACGTATGCTTCCTAACAGAACAGAAAACCAAAGCATACACTCTACGCATGCTGAATAGACAGTCATCTCCATGTGCAGAGAACATTAGCACACACAGACAAGTATAAATAGTCCTAAAACTAAGAGATAATTTACATTTTATGCTACTATGACTACCTTTAACAACTGGAGCTGGTCAAATGTTAATTCCTTTACTGGAATTTCAAATAATTCAACTGGATCAGCATCAAATTTCTAAAAAGAAAACAAAGAGAAAAACAGGCCCCCAATTATTACTGAACGTTTACCCTAGACAAGACTAATATCTCAATTTACTGAATGATAAAAACAATTGTTTTGTGGCCACATTGAGCCTATGCAGGGGAGCCTTTCTTACTGAACACCACCTCCCAGCTCTTAAAATCTGGCTTTTGTTTTTAATGTAGGTGGGAGTGCCTGAAAGAAAACAATGGCTGGGAGGAAGCTGTGGCCCTGAAGACACACTGAGAACAAAGCCAGAAGTCAGCCATTTCCCCTATTTCCTGTCATGCTGTATACATCTTATCTGACATATATCCATGCTACATGACTAGGAAATCAACATGCAAGTACTATGTAAGGATTAATTTCTGTCAATAAGTTTCTGATCTTTTCTAAATCTTTTAAACTTAAGTTTGGTTAAAAATGGCCACAGAAATCAACTGTCATGAAAAAAATTGTCTGATTAGCTATAAGCAGTAATACTTAACTGGAACTCTAATCTGTTATAAACGTTTTCCCCATGTGAAAATCTGTTTTATTAGATTTTAATACCATATCAAATGTCACAATGCTATGCACCTCTTTCTTAAGGAAATGAGTTAATGTACCACCAATAAATCATCAATCTAACAAATATACTAAAATACATTACATTTATATTCATTCATGTATATATGGTATGAGCCTGTATATGCATAGTTTCTCTGGAAAGACACACAAGAACTACTAAGAGTAAGGGAGTGTGATCAAGGAGAAAGGGGAAAGAAGATTTATTTTTCATTTCATAATCTTCTAAACTATCTACAGTTTTATAATGAACATGAAATTGGTTTTTTAAGGAAAATACCAGTTTAAAAATTAAAACTCAACCTAAAAATATATACAATTCATTACTTTCATTCCCTGATTAACTCACCCAAGTTCAACTTAAGAGTAAGACAGAGTCTGGTGAAAACGGGGCTCAGCAATACTCTTCAATTACCTCTCAGAGTTTTAGAAATTAGAGCTAGATTCATTAACCTCAGTCTTGGTTAGTAAGCTCCTTTACCATTCCATTCCTTCCCATTTCACTTTGCATTAATGTTTCCCCAAAAGCAAAAATAAGCTGTTCCATTTCTATTAAGTTATTCTACTTCTGTCGTCTAAATAGGTACATTTCCTTCCTTCCCTCTCCTAATACCGTGAAACAGAAGGGTTCTCTTCTATACATCACAGTAAGCCAAAACCAGAGGACTGATGAGAATCGACTAGCAGGCAGAGCCAGGTGCTTTGTTATATATTTACAGGACAACATGCAGTGACTGGTACAGTGTTATACATGTTAGCAAAC